ATTAATTGGTAATATTGAAGAAAAAAGTTTTATTACTTGGTTCATACCATTAAAACGGTGTTCGAGTTGTTTGATAATTATGTCCAGAGTACGATAATAAATTTGTGTTTTAAAATATTGTTCAGCATCATGGAGACGTTCATCGTTACTTAATTCATCAAAAAATTTAGTTGTTTTTGTTTTTCTTATTTTAGTGAACGTTGGCTCAACTCCCCACGAAATTGCTATTTGTTTAGCTTCCTCAAACACTTCTTCAAATTTATTACGCATTTCTTTTATTTTATTTAAGGCTGTTTGAAGCAGTTCAAAAGCTTTAAGTAAGTCTATATCCGATTTTTGTAGCAATAGTGATACAATTTGTAATGAGTTGAGAATTTTGGATTCGATGACAATTATTAAAATTACATCAAACTTTTGAAAATAGTTTTGAAGACCTGAGGCTTTACTTTTTTCATCTTTATTTCTACCCATAAGTGAAATATATGCTAAAAGTTTTAAAATATCTACGTAAAGCAAACTAAGCGCTTTTAAACAATCATTTCGTGAAGACCATCGAGTAGTACATAGTCTTTTGAGTGAAACAGACACAGAACTCACTGATTTTAAGTGTGCCCACCTTTTAATACTATTTGCAAAATATGAATAAAGGCATTCAAGTTTTTCATAAAAATTTTGAATTTCAGTAATATTTTTAACCGAGTCATTAATTACAAGATTTAAATTGTGAGCGGCGCAATGCACGTATAATGCAAGTGGCTGAGTGTGTTTGATACGTGCTTGTAATCCACTATAAACACCACTCATGTTAGCAGCTCCATCAAATCCAATCCCTCTTAACTTTTTAATATCAATTTTATTTTTTTCAAAATTATTGTATAGTTGCTGTTCCATTTCACTACTCGTTTGGCCCTCCATAATTTCAAATCCAATGAAACTTTCATGTATAACTATGTCAACTGGTTTATTTTCTTTATCATACATCACATTTACATAACGAAATATATGGCTTTGTTGATCAATTTTGGATATGTCTTGTGTTGAGTCAGTAATATAGCTGAAAAATGGAGCTTTTCTTATTTCTAGTAAAATATCATATTTAACTTTATCTCCTAGTGCTGTAATTATTTCATTCTGAATTGCCGGACTTAAATATTTTATGGTTCCTTTAGGTCTTTGGAGTAATTCTGTAAGTACCGGGTCGTATTTACCTAACAATTCGATTATCGCTAAAAATTTACCTTTGCTTTCTGTCTCATTATTTTCTCGGTGGCCACGAAATGGAATATCTTCAGTTGCGAGTGTTAACGTTGTAGCTATAATTCTATCCAATACCAGTTTCCAATAATTTGCTTCATCTCTGATTTGCTTTTCTTGATTTTCGTTTACTGTGTTATGATTTTGAAATGAATAAAAAGCCATGCATGCCATTTTATGAGGTATAGATTTTTCATGTCTTTCAATTCCTCGTGATGTATGGGCCCAATCGTTAAATCCTCGTATCCATTCTTGGTGCTTAATATTATTGTCTCCAAAAAGCCAACAAGGTTGACAGTAACATTTATGGAGCTCCGGTGAATAACAAAGCCACGATCGTGAAATACGCAGTCCAGCTTTTGATACGGTGTAATAAAATGATTCGTCAAAACATCGTCCAACCGCATTACGACTGAAAGGACCACTTGGTCTACAAGGACCATGTTCAACAATAAATTGTTTATCTTCTACACTCAGATGTCTCAGAACTGAATTTTGTATATAATTAGCTATATCAGTAGGATACTGTTTTGTGCAAATGATCGTCATATTTTTACTTAACAATATATCACAATCATCAGTATTGTTCATATTTTGACAAATATCGATAACGTTATTTTTTTCGGAGTTTTCATGTGGTATTTCAAAAACAGATGTAGTTATAGTAGGATTTTCCGAAGTAGATTCAACTGTATTTTTTAAAAAACTGTCTAATTTGGGCAGTTTAGCATCTTTCAATTTTTGTTCTATTTTTTTTTTGCGCTTTTGTGCTCCACTCATAGGTTTACTCATTTTAAAATATAAATTTTAAAAAAATAGAACAAATGAATACGCGTAAACGAACGATAACGAACAATAACGGCTACACGAAAATAAAATCGAAATATACGCGATTGTCATCGACTGACCGACCGACTACTACAAACTTTACGAACAAACTAACAAATAAAGATTTCAAATAATATCAAAACGATAAACGGATAACGTAATCGTAATGATTAATGACAGACGGTCGATTGATAGCCGGTCTATTAATAAATATATGTTAGGAATAAAACCCAACTTTTAACAGTAATGATAATGACTCATGAACATGACGTAAAACGTTAATATAATAATGTTCATACCCATACCGCAGCGAAAAAGGTCGTATACTCGTATCTAACAATTTTGAATTAATAAAAAAAAATGATTTGTTCAATACTATATTAATATATTATAATAGAAAAATATAGGTAGTTTTAAATTTTTATTAATAATTAATAGAAAATTTTTTTTTATTTCTTTGGGCCCCTATACGAACGGGCCCGGGTGCGACTGCGCCCTCTGATCCCTCTTAGTTACGCCACTGAACATATTACATAATCTATAAGAATATAAAAAGAAGAAAAATTGTTTGTTTGTTCAGGGCAATCTCTGGAACTACTCAACCGATTTAAAAATGTTTTCACTATCCCAAGTTTATATAGGCTATATTTATCTTGATAAGTGGCTCTTAACTTTTTTTATTGCAAATTTTAAAATTTTTCATTGAATTAACAGAAATAATATTATTTTGTCTATTATATGGTTGTGCTATTTGTTACAAAAAATAAAATAGTTATTATGACTGAATATAATTTTAGACCTATATTTTATATTTAGTCAAAACCATCAAAACAACTGTATTAAAGGGGGCTGGAGCAACCATTTTTTTTTCATACATTTCTACATTTACAACATAACCTAACCATCAATAAGCGAAAGAAAATTTAACACACTTCCAGTAGCTCGATTTCAATTTTGAAAAGTAAATTTAGTTTGTATTCTTCTTTTCTAAGTTTGCTCGGAAGTGGATTCTTATATTTTTAATTTCATTGCTATCTACAATTAAGTCAAGTATAAGTTTATTTTGATAAAAATATAAACTTACTATGCAACATATTATATTAATTAAAAATAAAGTCGTAAATCTATTTACAAGCAAACTTAGTAAATATACTAACAAATAAGCGCATCTTTTAAAAATTAATATAAGTCGATTGAAACAAGGTGAATTTTTATTCCTCTTTTGATGCTGCTTACATCAAATTTCTACCCTACAGCCGGGGCAAAAGTATTTTCTTTGTGTTCATTGACTTGTGCATGAGCGTATGGGTGTTAACACATTTCTAAGAATCTTAGTAGCCATAATATAAAAATATTAAATATTACCTGCATCCCGAACGATTATAATTCAATTAGAGCTAATGAATCCGGAAATAAAATAATACGATAAATGTTACAACAATACAAAATAAATCATAAATTCAGGAATTCAAATTTCATCGCAAAGAGTTTGTATCGGATTACATGCTCTAATGTTCATTTACTTCTCACACATTGACACAGCCAAAATTTACACGTAATATTAAATGCCTAAACACTACTCCTTAAAACATGGTATGCTTCAGCCCCCTTAATGAAGGTTAAGATGGGATAAATCGATGATAAATATAAATAATATGCCATATAGTAATATATTAATAATAATAATAACATAAATAACTTGGTATAACTTTGAATCTTTAGTTAGAAATCATACACTTACATACGCACCTCGTGAAGTCTGCAAAATATAATAATAATAATATAATCTGACAATATACTGCTAGCATACTGACAAGCGAGTCTCACGGACAACACCGGGCGGGATGGCTCTAATAATATAATATAACGTCATGTCCTGACTGATTAACATGAACAATGTTAGCTTGGGGCTTGCAATTTTCACAGTACCTCCTTACCACTATGTAAGTGTACACTAAGAAAGCTTTTTCCAAAATTTGCATTTTAAAGTAGTGTTTGCACATGTATTTTGGGATTTAAGTTGATTAATGAAAATATTTAAGTTTTAGACACCATTACACAAAATATTAAATAACTAATTAAACAAAGTTTGAATCATATAAAGTTGCCATTTTTAATTGGCAACAAAGTGAACTGGGTCAGCTAGTATATTATAATTTTAATATAAATATAATAGAACAAAAAATCCATATTTTCCCCATCCTATTCACCCAGAATCTTTTTTTTGCATACAATAATTAATCAACAAAATCATTCGACTGTCAATGATACAAAATACAAAGGCTGGGCATTAATGAGTTAAAAATTTAAATTTATTTTAACTTAAATAGTTACTTTTGGCTTTTCATTAACTTAACTGTTAACTTACTAAATTTATTTTTTAATTAACCAATTCATTTTTAATTTTAAAAAGTAAGTTAAGTTGATTTATTTTGTTTTTAATTTTATTATATTTCACTATTTCAGTCTATTTCGTTTTTATGCCAAAAAATATTAACCGTTAATTGTTTTAAGTTAAAAATTTATATCATTTGAATCAAATTTATATGGAAATACTGTACCTATTAAGTATATCAACTATAGTTTATAATTTAGTTTTGGGTTGGAAAAAAATTAAGTATGCTAGCGTTATATAAACAAATTAACATTTTTTTAACTTAATAAAAAGTGTGTATTAACTTTTAACTTAACTGAGTTAACCTATAGTTAAATTAACTTTTTATTATTGGTGCATATTAACTGAGTTAAAGAAAATCATTAACATGCAAAATACTATCTTAAATAAAAATACTTTATTTCATACCTAACAGTTAAAACAAAACACAAATGCATAACGTAAGTTATATACTTGTGGGACAAAAATAAATTGATGTAACACTTTTTGTTAAACAAATGACTTAATTTAATAGATAATATAACTATTTATTACCTTTTTTGAAACTATCAGATCTGTATATATCTCTAAGCTCTTTCATAAGACGATCAGTAGCTTGGACAGATCCAGTTACAGCCCCTTTTAAGTAATCCTGACGTTGGTTTTGACGTAATCTTTCTAAAGTTTCCAAGTGTTGAATTTCCATATCATCAACCTTGATTACCCATAGTCAAGATTTAAAAAATAAATAAAATAGAAAAAATGTATACTACACAATGTACACTACTGACTTGTTTTTTGGTAGATTCAGGGGTAGATTCTTCCATTTCAAGTTGAATATATTCTTCAACTTCTTCTTCGTCATCATCATCGTCATCTTCTTCATCTGTAAGTTTACTAGAGCAGGAGGTAGAAGTTGATGCCCCGGAACTGGAGGGCATTTGTATCAGTCTTTGTAACTCGGACGGTTCGGATAAACAATATGTACGGCACAGTTCACTAATCAATATTCCAACTTGATTAATGACCTAAGGAAAAAATTACATTTTATGTTTGTAAGATACCTTGAAAATTCTAAAATATACAGGAACATAATAATTTGTAAATAAGTATAAATAAAATATATTAAAATGGTCACCTATATAAAGTTATGTCTTACATTAAATGGTTATTAGGGAATCAACTTTTTTTGAACTCTTCAACTTTAAGAAATTTAACAGTTCAAAATTTAAGTTTGATTTGAATTAAAACATATAGAACAGTTTGAGCATCAAATTTATTTTAATTTACTATTGTTTCTTAAAAGTAAGTATAGTACATTTTTAAAAGTTTGAATAAAATTCAAGTTTACAAAAACTTAAGTTTCACCCATCCCTAATTTATTATACTATACATAATTTATAAATTGCCTTAATTTCATAACTGGTTTTTACAATTTTTATTTTTAGGTTAAGGGTGACGGTGGTGGACAGTTATTTTAGCCAAAAACATACAAACATTTATTCCATCATACTGATCGACCTAGTAATACCTAGAAGTAGATAATACTTTTTAAAACTGATTTGAATCCGTTATTATGTCTACTTGAAAGTGGTCAGTCTACATTTCTCAATTTAACCTCCCCAACAACTATAAATTTTGTTAGAATATATTTTAAATTTTCAAACTGACTATTCGGTTTTTAAATCAGAAATAATGATTTGAACTGACTGTTCCCAAGTAGATATTATAATGAATTCTGATCAGTTTTCTGAAAAATTATAGCACTATTAGGTCGATTGGTAGGATGGAACAATGTATATACAAATGAGAATGAATTGTTCGGGTGCAACACGGTTCCGGTGACTTGTACACGTGCGTGCGAGAACGCTCCGCTATTTCTTTTACACACACTAATGATCACTTACTACACACACACATGTATAGGATACGCATAGGTACATGCAATTGGAAAATTTCCTAATTCAAACTCCTTATAAATAGTGTAAAACACCAATCACCTTAACAATTTAAATTTTAATGATGAGTCTTAAATGCGCAAAAAAAAAGCATCTGAATCAAGTTAAAAATAATAATAATGATTTTACTGGATAATTTACCAATATTTACGAATATTTATAAGACTACGTGGTTTGAAAACATAGCAGTTAGTACAGCTACATCAACTATTCTTCTCAATTAGATATTAGTGAAAGTTTCATCAAAAAATGTATGAAAATAAATGTAAAGACTACGTTTAAATGATAACTCTATAGGTAATTTAGACTAATACAAATTAAATTATTTTTTAATTTTTAACAAAATATTAACTTCATTGTGTTAATTAATGTCGAAATTAATGTTTAATACCAGTTTATTTCAAAATAATATACTGCTATATTTTCATTATGTAATATTATTAAGAACAAGAAAACAATACATAACTTTGCTTTTCTCTTTTTCCATAGGGGGTATTCATTCAAACAGATTTCAATAACTAAAAGAAAATAGATCTAAATATTGATTGTAATATTAGTTCATTGACAAAGCTATAAAATATAAGATTTCAGTTCTTCAGTTTCATTATAGTGTTCATATGTTATTACTATAGATGATTTGAATTATTTGTATAGATGGTACCTAAATGGTTTTTTTTTGTGATGTCATGTATTGGTTAGCAGGAAAACACCAAAATACTTAATTTATATATTCAGTATATTACTTTATATATGCATAAAAATAAACTAAAATAAAATACTAATAAATTAATAAATTATGTAAGATAGTTAATACCAGGATGATTGTAATTCATAACATATAAGTTGGGACAAGCGTTCTGTTATTGTTCAACGTTAACTCTAAAAATAATTGGGTATTAAGTATTTATAGTACAAGACCAAATTATTTTCGCCTGTTACTACAAAATATACTTAAGTTGTTTTTGGTATTTTATATAAAAACATATGTTAGACTTGATGGTTGTAAATACTAAGTATTCGTAGGTAATGCTTAAGAATAAGTATTGCTTAAGCTATACTTATTACTCAAAACAGATCATAGACGAGACTTCAGCTTAAGTAAAGTAAAAGTATTACTTAAATTGATCGAGACCTACCTTAAGCTTTGTTTTTAGTTATTATCACAATTTATTTATTTTTTAAATTATCAAAATCAGCTTAAACAATAGAAATTTTTAAGCATCGACAATAAATACGGCTCTAGGTCTGGGAAGGATTAATAAATGTATATCTTGGTATATTTAAGAAATAAAAGCATAGTATCATCTCTACCCACAAATAATAATATGCTGATTAAGTATTAAACACACAGGTGTACTCACATGATTATTGAGTCCAGTAGTCTGACCTAGCTTTTCAATAGCATTGGTCACTTTACAGTCGTCGGTATCGGCAAACCAGACGGGTGGAGTGCCAGGATATGTCTCCTGTAGACATTTATTAGAGTATTAAAAAAAAAAAAAAAAAGAACGGACAAGTACAATGAGTACACTTCATAACAGACAGACGAACGTGCATGACGTTTAGTCCGTTCGGGGATGCTTACCGTGATGTTACCGATGATCTCAAACTGCCGGCCAGTGGGGCCGACGAACTTGCATATTACCTCGTCGACGGTGGCCGCATGCACCTGGAACCGGTCGTGGTTCTTGGGGAACGTCGACTCGATCACTTTGATCTCCTGTTTCAACACGTTCAGGCAAGCCATTGTGAGCATCGACGACTACAACAGGTCGCGAGGATCACGACGATCAATTGACTGAATTAGGCGAGAGGCACAGCGGCCCGGAAAGCCGGACGGACGACGTGGTCGTGGACCATGTCAGGTTAGCGAAAGGGTCCGTTTACACGAGGGCGCACGTTGTCCGGAAGAAGTGGTTAGTGCGACGGAGATTGTAAACGGTGAACACAAATTACGATGGCGGCAATAATTATTATTACACTGTCCTGACGGTCGGGTATCTGTTGTCGCGTGATGCGGCGGCGGCGGCGAAGACAGTAATGATGATACTTCAGCGACGACGATGAATGGACCGCCGCGGACGACGTCAAACGTTGGACACTTGGAAATACTCTGTGCACACGACCACGGCGTATGTCAGAGTATGTGTAACAACAGTCAACTATATCTGATATTTCATTAAACAAATAACAATATTATTAATAATATTACTATTATTATTACTATTACTACTACTGTGGTGGTGGTGGTACGAGCTGAAGATGATAATAATAATATACTTTTTTAACGCGACCGTCTGTCCGGGAACGGAAAAAAAAAAACCAAACAATAACAAAAATGAGAAAAACGTGGAGAAGAGATAAAGGAACGTAATATATTATTCGTGCGCGAGTGTACTAGTGTAGGTATGTATGTATTTCTATATATGTATATTATTATTGTAAGTGTGTGACAGTGTATACGTACCGCCGCCGCGTATTATTATTATTGTCCTTTCGGGGAAAAATAAAAAATATTCCGTTCGCGATCAGATGGAGTGATGGACAGCCGCTGCCGCGCGTACTGGTGCCTGGCGGACGGACTACGGCGGCGGTGACGACGGTGATTGGAAAATGGTGATGGTCTGGTTAGTAGAGTTAGTAGAGAGGTGAAGGCGGTGGTGGCGCCTTTGCCGTGGTTTTTTTGCTTGAGGTTGTTGTCGTCCGTCGGTTGAGTTCGGCGCCCGGAGGTGGCTGTAGACTGTAGTGGTACCACTCTAAACGAACCGATTGGTTTGCCGGTAGAGAGCGCTACGACCCAGTCGCGTGCCTAACCATCGGGAAATGTGAACGGGGACGGGGGAACGGGCCATGACGCCAAGAACGTCCAACACTCCAACTCTACAGTCTGTTCTGTTTATTAATTTATTGTTTACTGTTTCAACTGCATCTGTGCAGCAGGCCAATAGGCCATCACACATTCACACCATCTCACAGTATCTCTGCCTCTGCGACTCTGCCCACTGCCCAGTGCCCAGTACGGCCGCTGAACAATGTGTACCTCCAACAATAATAATAATTGCGTTTCACACCTGTACTGCCGTTGTATCGCACACCTGCCTCCGCTCTGGTGTTCGTTACTATTTTGCTTATTATTACCGTCTATTCCATCCTCGGTCGCGTGAGGTTTTCTTTCTTTTTGTTTATGTCGGACGACCTCGGACAGCCGAGTGCTGGACTCACGATACGACCGAATTAAATTACACAGCAATGCAGCATGCTAGTTAGTAATTTGAGTAGGCGATCTACATTCTACCTGTATAGGTATTATATTATTAGGCACATAGAGAATCATACAGGGTGAATCGCCAACATGCTCACGCCCTTTTTCATCTTTAATAAAGCAGTTTTTCAAAATCTAATTTTTGAAATAATTATACTTAAAAGAGTATATCATCCTATATTTTCAAATTCATGAGATTATTTGTACTACTTAAGGAATAAGGAGTATTCCAAGAATATCCTCCAAAATATCCCTTGTTGATTGAATTATAAACCCCCTAAGGGCAATTTTAAATTAATAGTTTTGTGTAGTTCAATTAACTGCAGCCCCCTCTCACAGAATTGTAACCTTAGTAGCGCCTACATTAGGGTGACCGGTGACTTGATCATTTTAGTAGGCAGTTAATATGATTATTTACTCACTTATGTAGCTTTTCTGTTTTTAAAGAGAATCCAGGTACTTTGGTGGGTCAAAAGTAAAAATTCCCAGAACTGGCAGAACTTTAACTTTCCAAACAAACCAAAAATAAATAAGGAAAAACTGAGATTTTTACGCAAAATCAGTTTTTGAAAAAAATCTTATTTGTTTTTGGTGTAACTCTAAAAAATAAACTTAGATACATGAAAATTGAAAATGTTCAAGATATTTTGGTATTTTTTTAAAATTATTATCGATCAAAAAATGTTCACTCTGTCAATTAACTTGAAAATGTAATACAATAGTCAATAAGTTCCTCATGTTAAGTTGTAAACAAAAAAAATTGACCGTAAATCCACTATAAATCATACGTTCTGCGTTTCTACGTGTACAAAATTGACATGACAAGTGATATTTTTTGACAAATTGTAGGAATTCAGTCGAACTTGAATTATTTTAGAAGTGGGTGAAATTGATAACGAGTTGGTTTTAAACCAGGGCCTAAAATTGTGTGCAGTAGCAACTAGCAGTGTAGCACACACTATGTGCAGTAGCTAATATTAAATGTGCAGTAGCAAATTTAAAAGTGTGCAGTACTCATTTTTGGTTTTATACATTTTTATTTGATTAATATTCAATATTGATTATTAAAAATTGGTAATTAGCATAATATTGTATTCATTTAAAATCCTTAACACTAAAAATAATACCTACTACATCATATTCTGGGCGGCTTATAATATAATAATTATATTAACCTAAGCTATTTCGTTTTTAATTTTAAAATGTTCAGTCATATAGCCATATAGGTATCAAGGAATTATATAGAAGATTGTTTTAGATTGTATTTATTATAACTAATTATTAATGAATAATGAATAACAAAAACAATTATGCAATGAAGTTATATGTGGCATGTGCACTACTATAGGTGCATTATATTAAAATATTTTGGTGTGGAATAAGGTGTGCAGTAGCAAAATATCTTAATTTTAGGCCCTGTTTTAAACGTATATCACAATATGTTAAATTATATATATTATACACTATATTTAGTAGTATAGTACATATATTCAGGGCCGGACTGGGTCAACAATTTCTACCGGGAAAATAAAAAAAATCGGCCCACTTAGGTATACCTATAAAAACAACCTTAAAAACATATTTTTCCGAGCATAAATGATTCTAAATGATCATGACTCAATGAATTTCTTATTCTATTGAGAATATATTTCAATTTTGAAAACATTCTTTCACAAGCTACTTGTGTTGACGACAGTGATAGAATGAATTTGTATGCAAAAAATAGTGTCCTGTAAGCTTCGCTGTACAGATTATATTTCAGTAGTACTATATAGCAACACAAAATACAATTTCGACACGCTTTAATTTTATTACATAATATTGACGATTTTTTTTCAATTTCTAAATTAGAATTGTTAGTGCTTTCTTTTAGTTCTAATTGATGTTCCTCGTCAATAAAATTATCAAATTCGTACTCTTCATCAAGTTTTAATTTTAAGCGGTCCCATTTTGAAGAAAAGTCTTGTAGTTCATATAACAAGTTAGCTTTTGTTATACTCTCGTCGCGATTTACTAAATGCTCAACTAATTTTGTAAATTAGGCGCAAACGTGCGTTACGATAAGAAAGTGATAACCGATTAACGATCGGTTTTTGGCAATTTATACATTTGTTCATATCTATTTTGAGGAATTTCCTTAATATTTTATCGCACACCCATGTTCAAGGTTAGATTATATTCAATTCAATCGCATTAGAAAATGTGTCTATGTCTATTGACAGAATGTCTCAACCAATAAACTTTAAAAAAAACGCACCTACAAGCACAAGTGGCCCAAATTAAACGAGCGGCCCACCGGGAAACTCCCGGTATCCCGCCTGCCCAGTCCGGCTCTGCATATATTTTTCCGTAATAGTAGTTATCATGTGATTTTGATATAATATTTGTTTTATATTAAATTAAAACATGGTGGTAGGTGGTGAGCGGTAAACGGACGTTTCGCCCCCGCCGTTTCGTCCCCGTCAAAAAAATCAGTACACGGACGTTTCGTCCCCGGCAATTATTGAGATAGGACGTTTCGTCCCTGAGAGTTATTAGCCATAGGACGTTTGGTCCTCGGTATACTTTGATAATCTAAATACATTCATTTTTAATGAACAATTTAATCTTTAAATGACAATACTACAAAATATACAAATACATAATCAATATTCATACAATACAATTACAAATAGTCAAGATTTAAAAACATCACAATATTGTATTAAGTCAACACAAATTGTAGTAAAAATTAATAAATTAAAATTAAATACTATAATATTATGATAAATTATATATTTATTTTTAGGTAACTGACTTATGTTTTATAAATAGTATAAAATTTAATTATCGTCATTATATTGAAATCCCGTACAATATAATATTATTATGATTGTAATTTCTTTTTTTTAAAACTAGGTAACTATTTTCGGTACATTTATTATTTCATTTTGTTTTTGTACCAATGCAGTCGTTGCAGACGCATTGCACATCTGTATTGAATACTCTTAAAATAAAGTAGTTAAATAAATATATAATATTACATTGTTATAATGTTAAAGTAAAACCACGACGGCATGGTATTTTTATTTAACAAGAATAATTATAAGTAGTAACAAATTAAGAATTAAAAGAAAAAAAAAGTATTCAATAAAATAGTACTCAATATGGAAAAAAGACAAAAGTATTTGAATACTTTTACTTAAATACTTTACAACACTGTATATTAGACATTACAGAATTGTTCATTAAAAATAAATGTATTATAATAATGAACTTTGAAGTAATTAATAACCTGAGAACCAAATGCCCTAAGTCCTAACCTATAATGAAAATATGCCGGGGACCAAACGTCCTATGTCTAATAACTCTCCGGGACGAAATGTCCTATCTCAATAATTGACGGGTGCGAAACGTCCGTGATTCGTGGTGAGCATGGTTGGTGTAATGGTGTATCACCCTATAATTTGTATATTATTCGTAAATAATTGTGTGGTGGATGATATCTCTCGGGA